CTATGATTTTCTCCATTCAAATACGCTTCACTGTAGGATGAAAAAGCTGATTCATTTCTTCTTATTTAACATCTACAGTGATGTAAGATCATTAATCTGTTTGGGAATGTTGAATAAATTTGTTAGATTAAAAAAAAATGTTTGTTGATCTTTCTTTAGGCCCGACCCGTTGGCTCCTCCATTCGCTGTTGGAGGAGCTGATCTGGATCCATTTGGGTGAGTTAGTGATGCTGTGATCTGGAAGCCAAACTGTACAGAATACTGACACCTGCTGGACATATAAATACACTACAGGCAGCTGATTGGACAGAATAAACTGAATTGATTTGATCACCCAGTAGTACTAGTACTCTTTAGCACCCCCCTTTGCAGGCTTTTTAAAAAATTTATGAAAATTGACCATAGAAAGATTATAAATATATATATATATATATATATATATATATATATATATATATATATATATATATATATATATTAAAAACACTGGAATAAAATGATGAGAAATGAAGTGTTTAGGAAAAAAATCATTTATATTTCGTCAGATTTTTGGATTTTTTTTTAATGTTGTTGCTCCACCCCCTCCTACCCGCCTGCTGTCTCTGACCCCCCCCCCTTTAGATCCCGTGGCGGTGGTGGGATGATAGTGGATCCGTTAAGGTCCGGGTATCCTCGCTCCGGCTTTGACCCATCCAGTGGTATACCTGACATCCTGCCACCCGGAGCCGTTCCCCCAGGAGCTCGCTTCGACCCCTTTGGACCCGTCGGACGTCACAGACCGGGGTAAGGAGCTCAGAGTTCTAACTTTATATTATTTAAAGTCGTAGGGAAGTGATTCAGAATGAAAATCTAAGACGTAAATAAACATTATTTGGTCGAATAATATTTTATTAAATCGTTTGCATAAATCAGAAACCAATAAATATTTAGGTGAGTGATACTTAACCTCCTGTGTTAATTCCTGAGAGCCGGGGGTTGAGTTTCTTCCGTAAAGCGGCCTGTGTGAAAAATTCTCCTACGACTGGAGAATCGGCCCGAAAAGGGGAAAGAATCCTACAGTTTACGCCC